GGAACAGCTCCTTCCGCATACGCCATCGCTTCTCTCGCTCCTGGTCCCAAGCGAGACGTAGATCCTGGGAGTCTGGTGCACTTTGTCGATGATCACAACAGAAGAACGTGGCCCTGGTGAAAACAATCTTTTCACCATAAACCCAATCTTCAAGGTCCTCTCCATGGTTCTCCTCAAGCACTCGGTCTGCGATGCTAAGATTACGCCCTCCTGGGGCGAGGGTCTCTTGGGGGATCGAGATGATGTCGGAAAGGATGTAGTCACACCACTCAGCACCCAGGGTCCCTGCAAACCCCATGAATGACATATGAATTGGGGCAGGCCGTGCAGCAAAAACCTCATTACGTGCACCACGTGTGTAACCGTTCAAGTTGATGAGTATATGGATGCCATCCGCGACGATCTGCTTTACTAACCGGTCGACAGACCATCCACTAGCATCGTGAAACACCGGTGCTTCCCTTTCAATCTGCTGACGATGGATAGACTTATCACTTGCGGTAGTGGCATAACAATAGGCTTTCACTCTTGATGGATTATGCAATCCAAATACAGACTGCATAAGATGCGCAAGGGGATGATTGTTGAAATCCGATGATACATATCCAACTTTGAGATATGGGTTTGGTGGTGCCGGGGGCTGATACACTGTAGCTGGCAGCCATGGGGAGCGAAGGGTTGCACAGGATATGCGAAGCCCATTACGCTGTGAGATTTGCCGAATTTGCTTCGCAGAAAGTGGACACGTAAAGGTATGGAAAGGTAACACAGTAGGAGCATTGGGAGCAGACAACCCAGGAGGAAGTTGTGGTCTGCGATACTTCGACAGGGGATATTCTTTCCGATGGACATAAAGGTCCTGATACCACTGCCATGTGATCGCTCGTATTGCGCGCTCAACGAGCTTTACAATTCTCGAGCCTTCCCATTTCTGCCCCGCCCATGATTGGAGAATAGCATTGAGCGATCCAGATGCAAACCGTCGGCTGTCCAATGCAGGAACCAGCTGCGCGCACAGTTGCTCAATTGTGTTGGGAGTCAGCAGGCCACGGCCCCATGATTCGCCTTCTTTGAGCTGCCGATCGACAATATCAACGACACGCTTAATCCAACCAGCACCCGTGTCAATACTGTAAGCGTCCCGAAGCATCCCTTGCTCGTTGACATGCCACCGATCCCGGAAGCCATGCCCGTTGGCAACCCCACCTCGGCCAACCCAGTTGCAGACAGAGTTGAGAGCATTGGCTAGTCCGCAGACTGCTTCTGCGAATTCGGGATTTACTTTGACAGCACGCTTGTAATATGTGATCGCCTCATTGACACGACCGGCATCTTTGACTGCATTCGCAAGGTTCGCCAGAGCGATGTCAAAATTGCTATCACACTGAACAGCCTGTTCATACATCCGAATAGCAGCCTGAAGCTGGCCAATATCCTTGAGTAGGCTACCAAGATTCGTATACAGGTGAGCATGTCGAGAGTCGAGGTGTAACCCGTAGTTATAATATGCCAGGGCCAGAGACACTCCACTGCCAAAGACCACACCAGGTATCTCGGGATGTTGCATCTCACCACTAGAGCGGGGTAGCCCTTTGGCTGCATTATTTTGAATGCCGGCAAGCAGAATTCCCACATTGTTTGCAGTCGAGGGGCTCGGTTGGAGAGAAAGTGAAAGGTAGTAGAGCGCCAGTATATCCCGAACTCCTGGAGCAGCTCTGGGCGCGCCCCCGGTGGAGATACTAGACATCCCATCCTGGTATATCTTTGCCAGGGAGAGTAAGGAATTGCTCGTGGTGGATATCGCCGCTTTCCTTGCAAGACCTTCCCCAACAAATTTGATTCCGGGGGGCGTTCCACATGAAGGGAAGACCAGTTTAGAGGTCTGTAGAGCCTTGTCCGGATATAGGAGAATAGTTTCGTTCGAGCTATGCTGTTCTGATGGGGCAGGATAGTCATGCCGCGATCCATACGAAAATGCTGCAAATATCTGCTTTATCAAGTTTTGAATGCCGTGTCGTCTTCTCCCGGCAGCGATCAAGATTGCATCTTCGAACGCCACCGCAGCTCCAGCATTATCACCCAGTGCATATAACATATTGCCTTTGGCATGGACAAGAGCCAGCATCCTACCGTTGTCGCAGCCCGGGATAGCATAACCGCTCGTTCCAAAGCCAGTGGAGCCGGTTTCTGCAGACCGCTTATTAGTGAAGACCGACCGATTCAAGTCATCATCATAATCGAAGGATGCTTTCTCGTATGAGCCGAGATCAGATGCGCTCGAGGCACCGCTTTCTGCGTCACTCTCTGTCTCGCTAGCATGCTCATCGGCTGTAAAGCAGTCGCCATTCTTTGGAAAGCGAAGTGACTTCTGCACGAATTCGATAATGTTGACGGCTTCCTTTCCACGATGGCTGCTACACAAGAGACCAATGAGATGCTCTACGGCCTCGAAAAAGCTGGGGCGGAGTTTCACAACACGTAGCCAGTGGTTCAGTGCCTCCTCTCGACGGTCAAGTGCCAAAAGAGTGGCAGCTAGATTCGATATCGCCTCAACATGTTGCGGATCTCTAGCAATGATTCTTGAATACCATCTCATAGCTTTTGGATAGTCACCCAAACCGTAGGCAAGACAGCCACCAAGTAGCATACCATCGATCCACTCCCAACCACTCTCACTACATAGCGGAGAAAGCATGTCTAATGCGGTGCGAGCATTTGCCAATGGTGAATTCTCGTTGCCAAAAGGTGCAGGAGGAAATGGGGAGACCGCTGAAACTGTGAAGCGGCCTGTGTGGCGTAACCTATCGAGCATCTGCATGTCACTCTGTTGTTGAAAGTGGTGAAGCGAAGGTCGATGCCGATGCTGATGAGTCTGAAAGCCCGAGTGACTATCAGTCTGCAGGGTATGATTAATGATATTTTTCGTTCGGTGATCATATTGGCTCGACGGATAGCTGTTGTGGCGCCCAACTTCCGGTGGGTTTACTTGGGAGAAGTCCAGTCCTGGTTGCCGTGGTGGTTTGGGGTATATGCTAGGTTTCAAAAATCGCTGGCTTTGGGGATCACCACCTGCATTAGAAATGCTATTCCGCCGAGCCTGATGGATCGAAGCTAGGAGATCAACATAAACACCATGGGCCCATGACAAGACTTTCTCCTTGAATTCCACATTGGCTGCACGTAAATTAGCTGTAGAACCTGTACCCTGAAACCCATGCCCAGTAGAGGCGCCCGACCATGGTGTGTAAGCTTCGTTTCCAGGCTGACGTGATGAGAAGGCAGAGCTTGCATTGCTTGGACGTGGATGGTACGGTAATGTGCGTTGAGAAGTATCAAAGGCCTTCTGATCCGAGTGACGAGGAGGAAAATTGTTCTTCACGGAAGGGTCGTGACTGATAATTCCCAGAGGGGTTGCGCTCCAGGTTGAACCTAGATCAGTGCGACTACCTGGCGGTACTGGATTATGGTTGAACGGTTGCTGCCCTGCATCGAAGAACTGAAGGGCGGAAGGGTTGACTTGTTTCGCGAACGGATTAGGGGAGTTGTAGCGGGGCTCTCGAAAGGCCGCTGGACGATATGGAATATATACACCATCGGGCCAATACGGACCATATGGACCGGTACCCGCCGATGCTGTAGGGCCGAGGCACGGCTGAAGAGTCGCTGGTAAGACCGTTGGAACATAGGCACCGTTATGCCAGTAGAATCTTTGCTGGGATCCCGGCATCGGAAGCGATTGGTTAAGCATCGAGTCTATTCCCGGCACGTAATTCAACGAACGGACCCAGCTTGCACCATTCACACCCTGAATCATTTCTCCGGGAGCTGTGTTAGTCCGGCTCGACTCGTTTTTGTACACAGGCGGAAAGTTCATCGGTTTCGCTTGGGATGGCTGTTCCAAGGAGAGCTGCGACCAGGTGTCCATGGGAAAGCCCGTTTGAGGGGTTACCATCTGACCTGACTCAAGAGGCGAAACGAGAATATGCTTGGACGCCGGGGGCTGAATTGTTGTATCCCCCGGCGTCCCATCGTAACCAGCCGCAAGAGTCCCATTCGGTGTCTTCCTCCTCAGTGCGTGTTCTCCAGGGTTCTTCGGGTTGAGTCCCATGCCAGTCGTGTCATGAATATCGAGACGCTGCACTGGATGATACTGTAGTCGAGTACGGGGAACCGAGTGAAAAGATGGTTTATTCATATCATTGTGAGGGAGCGTGGCGGCGAAGGGTGTCGTGTCAAAATCGTAATTGCCATCAACTGTGTCAGCCCCATGATAATGATTCATATGATGATGTGGCTGAACTGGCGGAAAAGGTGCTACTGAGGGCAACATGTTGGCCCTTGATGACGGAGACACCTTGTCCCACCGTGGTATAACAAAGACTATACAAAAAGATCCAGAAAGAAGGAGTCCCGGATATCAAAAAAAAATAACGGTAACAAAAAAAAATTGATAGAAAAAGGTCGAGATCGTCGATTCAGGTTACTGCCAAAGATCACGAGCGGTCAATAGTGGAGTCAGGTACATTCAATCTTGCTGGGATTTTCAACAAGCATCCTCCTTGAAACGTTTTCTACACCTCATCCTGGACATGAGCCGGCTCACTAAACATTCAGCGAAGCCCCCCACGGCTTGTCTCTGGGCTCGACATGAACGCTGGTTGGGTTGGCCGTAAAAAGGACACGAGCGAGCGTCGAGAGCTAGTAGGACGAGGGATGAAGCAAGAGAATGTAGGCCGTGTCAAGAATACCATCCACGGATTCCGGAAGATAGAAAAGCCACGCAGGCGATTTGGTTTCCACGGCGTTATTTGCTGTGTGATTCTTTGGGAGGTGAAGCGGTAATGCAAGGGAGGAAAGGGATTCAAGAGTCACAGCCCTAGTCGATTTCCTGAGTACCCCCACTGACGCAGGCGTCCGCAAGTACGCGATCAATCACTTGGAAATACCACGCTTGGCAACAATGCTGTACTCAGCGCGCTGACGAGAAAGGGAGGGAGGGGGGAGACAAATTAAAAATCAGAACGCAGAAGTAGAATAAAAAGGAAATCGACTATCAAAAAAGGCGGAGTCTGAATCACAGGAGTAATAGTGTAGCGGAAAGGTTGAACATGGCACCACTAGTTGATAGTAGTCAAGGGGAGTGGTTCTTTTGATTTTCTCACGCTTTAGCTCTATTCTCCTTCTTGGCTCTAGTGGTTGCCGTGGTCCTGAATTGATTAATTATTACTATTGGCCTGAGCAGGGAAATAAAAAAGAAAAGAAAAGAAAAGAAAAGAAAAAAGGTGCCTAAGATCCAAGGCGACAGCGGACGCAGGGAGTTTTTGAGGCGGAGAACATCCAACGGCCGGCGGAGAGGCACAGAACCATAAAAATGAGAGGGAGAGATTGGAAGGATGTCAGGGTCTGGGGTAGTAAAGGATGGTAAGAAAAATGGACCAGTCAAAAGTCGTATCGACCCGACCAGAAGGTGAAGGACCATCAAAGAAGGTCGGAGGGACGGGGAAATCAGGTCGCAGAAGGAGAGGAAAATTTTAGAATCATGATGGACAGAGAGATGAAGCGGGATGTCCCATCATGACAGAGCGGAGCTTCACAAACGAAAGCAGTGGACAGCGACACTCTGTAGCTCCCGTTTCGTCTTAGGGGGGTTCCTTTTTTGGGGTGGGGGAAGGAGCCAGTGCAAGTGAATGGAGCAGCGGGAGTGGAGCCAATGGAGTCGACCCAGTGGAGTCCCCATTACTAGGTTGGGATGCAAGTGGGCTTGGGCGCCCTAACACCATGATTATGTGGCTTGTACCCTCCAGTTTATTATTTTCATTGGTTTGCAATTCTTTTTTTCTTTTTTCTTTTCTTTTATTTTGTCTTTTTTTTCCCCTTCGATATATCTCCAGGGCCTTTTCTAATGGTGTCGCCCCATATAGATATATATTCATATATAATTTCATGACGGGTTTCAGATAAATAATGAGAATCCCCAAGGCATCATGACCTCTACGTCATGATATCAAAAGAGAAGAAGAAAAGAAAAAAACTTTTTTTTGGCTCAAATCACTGTACGTACCAAGGAGGGGAAACAAAGAATTAAAATCATTAGAAAATACCCACATAATCAAACACGACAATCCATCACATCCCAGTCCCACCCGTGCGATCCAACGGCTAGGATGGACCAGGCGCTAGCCTCTTGGGCGCAGGAGCAAATCCAAGTCTGTTCAACGTCAGTGGACCACCGTCCAAGGCCCCGGTCTCCGGTGGCGCCCGCAGTTGATCAAGCCTCTGGTTTTGAGAGGGTTTGCTTAGAGACGGCGGAAGGGCGATCTGGCACTTTCGGTGGGCTGAGTGGAGTCGCTGGCTTCCTGTGAGTATGTCCGTGTTGTCGGCCTGCAATGCAAGCTGGCCTTTGGCATGCACCGGTGGAATATTCTAATAAGTTCCCTGTTTGAAAAAGAGAAGAAAGAGAGAGAGAGAGAGAAATCAAACTAAAAATTAAGGATTTTTTTTTCCTTCCAGAATTGATAATAAAAATATAATAGAAAATAGAAGACGGCAACAGAAGCGGGTTAAATCGGTATAACAAAAGGTATATGCCGGTGAGGGAAAGGAGAATTCGAACAATTGTAGGTAAATAACATACGTAGATCAAGTGAGGTGGTGGTAGAGGCTCAGACACTTGGCCACACAGGTGACCATCATTTGAATTGGCGGTTCTGCAACTCTGATGCAGCCAGAGGCTGAAAAACGCCCATGGAGTAGCACCGCACATGCCCGAGGCCAAAGCAAATCAGGTGAGGGAGAACCTGAACGGTGTCTGTACGGAGTATGCATGGATGTTAGTATGTCCATTGTCATCATTAATAGTCGACAACACTATTGGGGGTGGTTTTTTTGTATATTTCACTTTCTATTTAAAAAATAAACATAAAGATACATTTATCATTTCCAGTATATGCCTTCATTATTATCACATTGTTATTTTTTTTTTCATTTTTTTTTTCACATAGACTCCCCTTTTTTACCTTGATTTTCTTATTCCTCCAGTTTAATGCTTCAAACCTTCAAACGAAAGCGGCGCTCCAAAATCAAATTTAAAAAAAAATAAATACCCCACCATGGAAATAATAATAAAAAAAGGATGAATGGTTCTAGAGGATTCGCTAGTTCCCCCCCCCCCAAATTCGGACTATAAAAGATACTTAATTAGATAGTCCATACGACATACATCTAAAACACACGATAAATCCCCATCCCCATAGAAAAAAAAATTTAAAAAATAAATTAGAAAAAAAAAAGAGGAAAGAAAAGAAAAGAAAATTATAAAAATAATCTCACCCAACCCAGATGGTCCAACTCAAAATCCACTTTCCCGGGTGTGGAGTCAACTTCCAAACTTTCCAAGGCAGCCCGTTTCTCATCTGTACCCAGTCATTCCAATCCGATTCAGCCATGGGCTCCATCCTCCCCATGGCTACTCCTATCACTAACTCGCTAGTGTTCCTCCTGCGCAGGAATCACCAGCTAGGTATCATTCTTCCTGCTAGTTCCGACGCTCTCCATCCGCCCAGACCAGGGTCTATTGGGATCGATGAGGGCGGAAATGGGGCCGCCAGCTCCCCTTTGGCCATGTCACGAGCGGTCTGACGATGACGATCGGCAAAACTTTGCCTCTCGCTTCTCCTCGCTCCTCCATCTTCGACTCAGGTATAAGATGAGCCATATATACCGATCTACCGAGATAGTCTCTCTGAGCGGACGGGCAAAGGTTGCCAGATGGTCAGAGGGAAAGTTAAATCAACCCAGGCCACGTTCCAACCGGAGAACGGGGAAGAAATATATATCAAACCGATGATGTGTTGTTGATATTGCGAGATGTACATATAACAAGATCCAGCAATCCGTTACACATCATGGTCTGACTCATCCTTACCCAACGTGACTTACACAGCATATGTGACTGATGTATGGATATGGGCTGTAGGACATCCATGATGGTGGCACTGTGCACTCCCCTTCAGCCCATATCCTACCACTATCAGCACCAAGGGGGGGGCGGCGGGGAGCGCGCACCTGCAGCTCGGCGCGTATCAGGAACCTTGCCACGACAGTAGTCTTTGCATCCTTACTAGTCGGTGGAGAACGAGCATCTCCGGGGTGTACTTCATATCGTACTACCAAACAGGTACATGTTATTCTCGGTACACAAACGACATGGTATCACATATCTTCATGCTCCGTTGATTAAGCCGAGACCTGGTAATACCTTCGACATTGAGAGGTACAAGAGTTTCCATTCAGGTTCTCAAGACTACGAGTATACCAATTACATATACGTTCAGATTATGCGTGAGCAATTACAGTTATAGTCAAGAACGACACGGAGCCAAGTGTATGAAAATGATAATAGTTGTATTGCTAATTTTACGAAGTATGCCTACGCATCAGACAAGCCATAATAGGCTAGGCATCAAGCCTTGAATTGTCGACCGTGATGATGGATCACTGTATCCACAGAGAGAGACACAAGGCCTCCCGCAAAGATACCGCGATGAGTAGAGGGTCGGGATTTGATCTTCTTTGCGTAAAATAAGCCTATACCACGTTGAAAAAGGTCACATACCAGGCCCGAAGGCGGGAATGGACAGTACGGGCCAGAGTGTTGCAAAGGTCATCTGGGGTAGACTGATCATGACTCCGCTCGCATATAGACCGCGAGTAAATCACAAACAGGTGGAAGGTGGGGAAGACAGGAAGAGGTGTCCAGTGATAAACGAATCAATTTTCGATTGAACACAATTGGGAATCTTAGGTCATGACTCATAAACATTTTGTTTTCAAGGCATTAATCGTATTCTCCTAACTAGCATGCCGATACATTAAAACGACCGCCGCGGATTTCCGACCATAATTTACTCGGAGGGGACTAGGCGATGGTTAGTATATGGATATCAAACCATACCAGTTTCAGGAACTTACTGTCAATCTCGCCAGCCTTGATTTCATCGCTGATATCCTTGGGGCTGCGGCCATCGACCTGGCAACCAACAGAGAAAGCGGTACCAAGGATCTCAAGGACGGTACCCTGAAGCTCCTTGGCCAAAGACCTGTGGCGCATCTTGCGAGCGATCTCAATGATCTCGTCAAGAGGGACGGACTTGTTGTGCTTGATGTTCTTCTCCTTCTTACGGTCACGAGGGGGCTCCTTGAGGGCCTTGATGACCAGGGAAGAGGCAGAAGGCACAACGGAGATGGCGGCCTGACGGTTCTGGATGGTGAGTCTGACGGTGACACGCAGACCCTTCCAGTCACCAGTGTTCTTGGCGATATCTTCACCAATCTTCTTGGGGGACAGACCGAGAGGACCGATCTTGGGAGCCAGAGCAGACTGAGCTCCGACCTCACCACCAGTCACTCGCAGGTGAATGATCTTCACCTCATTGGGGTCGAACTTGGGAGCTGTTCATTGAAAAACATATTAGTCGCCAGTGGTACAACCAAGGAGATGATACTTACGCATGGCGAGTGCGAAAGGTCGTCAATCGTCCTTGGAGAGTTGGTCGGGGTGGATGGTACAAAGAAGAAAAGGAAATTTTCTTGAAAAGGCGCAAGAATATTTGACTCGAGACTCACTTTCCGGGCTAGACCTAAGCGAGACGCCCAATCAGGTAAGGTGTCCAGGGCTCAACCCGCCCATTATCACGTGATACATATCATGAAGCATGAAGGCTCCATGCCATAGTTCCGGAGTAGGCAAGTGGAGTAGAAGTCGGATTTTGTACTATTGATTTGGATTTAATTCATTGTGTCTAGGTAGTTGCTATATCGCGGGGTAACAAACAAAAACAAATAGCCGCTAAACATACAGAAGAACCAAATATCGACGTAGAACCGCCCTTTAGTGGTCGCTACATCGTCATATCTAGCTGGTTCCTGAAACCGCAAGCCTACGTAGAAAAGTCAGTATCCACCTTTAATCTTATTGGCTTCATGATACTCACTTCATCAAATGGTCCATGAATGTCTGCAACGAAACATCATCGGTGAAAATGGTTTGCGATGTCACACCACCACCATATCCTCCTGTCGTGTGTGTGGTGGATGGGTTCAGCTTCGACAAGAGGAAACGTGCCTGAGAGCCGCCAGCATCACAAACGATGAAACGAGGCAGTGGGAAGCGGTCCGAAATGAGTTCCTGATTTTAACCAAATTAGCTTATATCTCACTGGACTCGGAATTGGGGGGGGGGTGGGGGGGTACGAACTCTAGCGTCCTCTTTGGGTTGCTCAAGAAGGGCCTTCAGGTTCTCATAGCCTTCTTGGTCTTGGTAGCCGGCCTTTCTCCATTCTGCGATGGTTTCACCGTGGAAAATAAGGATATGGAAGAAAGTATCAAGCAAAAGAATGTGGGAAGGCTGGATGGAAGCCGAGTCAAGAAGGACAGGCTGGCTGCCTTCATGTTCCAGGGAGTATGAATCCAAGGTCGGCTGAATCATGACAAGAGAGTCACCAACATCCTCATGGTTAAGAACGTGCCTGTAGAAGGCTGTCTCATCAGGGGAGTTGTTGAAGAACTGCAAGAACTGACTTCTGCGGAGATGGAACATAAACTGAGGATAAAGCGTGAAATTCTTCTCGAGTCGGAATGAAGTTGGGTCGTCCTTTCTGTAATCCGCAAAGCGAGAGCAAAGCCTGATGAGCATCCGGTCAACCCATCTGAGGACATCGGGACCATCGTCGACCTCTGCCTTGAAGACTGCAATACGCGCCATCAGAACTGCAGCGGCTTCCTGGTCAAAAGACTGTGCCAGCGTAGGATCTCCAGCTGGCCCACTCAAGTTGCGTGCGACAGTTGTGACCCGCAGGTGATAGTGACCAGACGAATGCTGGTAGTATGTAAGGAATTGCATCATTCCTCTCTGAGGACCCGGCTGCACTGCCGCAGGCCCGCCTTGGTTTGCGATCTCAAAGTAGACACCGTAGCTTGAAGAAGGATCGATGCCGCACATCTTCCAGGCACAGGTATTGCCAATACCGCACTCTGTTTCACCGACGGAACTCGACTTCTTGTTCAGAGATACGGCGTGGCCGATAAGCCCTGTGACCTTGAGCTCCTTAGTAGTGAGGACTTCGAGGGATGCGTTGAAGCCCATCAGCAAGTTGTCATTGGCATCCTTGTCGAAGATTCTGACGAAGGATTGCTTGAATTGTGAGGACGTGAAGCTATCTGTGAGGAGCATATGACCGCCAGTGTAGTTGACAAGGTTCTTCATCTCCAGAAGACCAACTTGGTCGAGACATCCCGCAAAGACATCCACAATATGTCCGTTGTTGGCAGCACGCTTAGCCATGGCGTCGTAGAACTATACCTATCAGCATACCAAAATCTCCAATTTTATCGGAAACTACTCACCTTGACGGCTTTCTTGTAGTACTTGATGTTATCCCGATCAATATCGTGATGAGAACGCATAGGTTCCTTAAGTTCGGGTCCAACAACATGGCCTGGACCCTCGGTGGCCGGGCCGCTGGTGAAAACCATGATGCGTCCGCCGGCATTCTGGAAAGAGGTCTCAAGCAAGCCAACCGCAACGCTAAGAGCAACACCTGTGCATCTCAGAGGTCGCTTGTCGTTCGCAACGGGCCAAGGGTCACGCTGAAGCTGCTCGAGAACGTTGGTAATCTGGAACTCGGCCTGCTGGACAGGAAGAAGGAATCGTGCGGCGGGGCCAAGAGGCGGACGAGCCGGTTGTTGAGGCATGTTCGGACGCACTCCAGGAGAGAGGAGACCAAGCATCTCTTGGACTTGCTTAGCGGCGTATTCTTTGCTGCCTCGAAACACGTACGATTTGGCGCATTCGGTGTAGCCTAGCTCGTGGACTTGAGCCTGTGTTTGGGTCAACAATCTATTCTCGCGTTGCTCCCACCGTCCAAATTCGCGGTTCATACCATGGTACCATATGTGATCAATCCTACTAGCGCATTTGCTGGCAGCAGAGACAAGCTCATCACTAGAGTATCCTTCAAGGCCTTCAAGCTGTCCTCTTCCTGGCAAGTATCGACAACGTATACGAAGATAGGAGGGGTAGGGGCGGGGCGCGCCAATTGGTACTCGATAGTCGTGCTTAGAGGATGGAGCTCCGGCGGTATCGTGCTCTCGGTGATATCCTTGTAGTGAGGGGGGAGGGGGTTGCGCATCAGGCAGAATGGACATATCCAGATCCGGGCACGGACATCAACATTGCTATTGGTCGTTAGTCCCTAAACAAAATTGCATGCTGGGATTCATCTCCTACGCATAAGGATTCAGAACGGCCCGGCAAGGTGCTTTGCAGGTCACCGGTTCATATTGCAGCAATGGAGAGTCGGGCTTGTCCTTGAGCGGAGTGTACACAGCACCAATAGGGACGACCAGTCGAGATGCTTCCTATGCACTACTCAGTCAAAAGGATCTCACGATATCTGACGTCGAAACTAACCATGCGTGAGCTTGGAAACGTGTTCCAGCTCAGTCTGATGCCATCGCGGTCCTCGACATCACTCCATTGGTCCTTCAACGCTTCGTAGTCCATGTTGTCGGGCAAACAACGGGGCTCGGTAGCTTCGTCGTATGAGAGGGGTATCTAACGAACAAGGTTGAAAGAAGAAACCCGGTTGATTAAGAAAAATAAAAGTATGAGAGAGTATCCTGTACCATAACCCGATCTCTACAAGGGCAACGCCAACAGCTGTTGTCCGGAGACTTATGCGGGGACTAGGAGTATGTTGTGTGAACCGGTGTTGTTGCCATAAGGCCAGGTTGCAGCATGTTAGGCGGCTATGCGCAACCGTACTCTCGCACTAGTGTGCTTTAAATTTCGGCCAAATCCGTCCACAGCCAACTTTTTTCTTTTTCTTTTTCTCATCTATACATCGCCGATACGTTTGAATTTTTGGCAACTTCCGTCCATATCAATGACGAAGTTGTTCTTTCGCATCGAGTGAAGAGTAACCTGACCCGTTGCTGGGCACCTGGATTTGAAAGGTCGTTCCGATCCTTTCGGATAATTTGGGAATCAGCTGTGGTCACATCATGACCCCTCCTTAGCCATTTGATTGTGTGACATGGAAGCGGCGGAAAAAAGGAGGGAAAGCATTGCGATATGCAGATTAGTTTTACACGTAGATTTCTACCTAAGAAAAGACTGCCTGGGTGTGAGCAAAAAAAAAAAAAAAAAAACGAACCCATGAACGCCTTATATACAACTGTGTGAAAGTGAAAAGTCAAAGCAACCACATAGCTTCGTAAAGTGCATTTAACAAGCTTTTAAGCTTTCTTTGGAGCTTTCCCCACCTGCTTGAGGAGATAACTGCGCTTGAAGTATGTGTTAGGGTGGACGATGGTGTCCAGATCCGTCTGATTCCAGGTACCATCCTCTTTCACTCGCTTGATCTCTGCCTTGTGCGTCCACTCGAACACCCTGTTGCAAGCGATATGATATCGGGTCTTCTCCACGTCTTCCCGCACTCCACGCAGTAATTCTCTGTCGCTAATTCCAGTTGACTGAAGAAGCCCAATGAGGTTGTCAACAGAGAAATGACGGTAAGGGCAGCCGTGTGTCTGCCCAACTCCTGGATTTGAGTCACCAAGGATCTTTTGGCATGAGTAAGGAGGATAACCGCGGCCTCTGCGGTTGACATCACCACCCACATCGCCATAGGCGTGGCGGATATTGTACTTGTACCGGGAGTTGAATTCGTCGTCGGTAAAGCCTTTGAATGATTGACGCCAGAAAACAATACACTCCTCCAATGATAAGCCTATTCCTTTCAAAAAGAGGGTGTATTGAAGTCGGCCGTAATGCTTTAGGTGGTTGTTCTTGCGCAGTGACATATGTAGATTGCGCATGCAGAGTGGGAAATGCTGGGAAAGCTGATCGATATTGTTCGCGGTGATTGGAGCGCCATCGACAAATCCTTCGCCCTCGGAGTATACGGACTCGGCACTCCCAAAGTTCTTAGACAGATGGTTCAAAATGGGTGTGAGACGATCATCCTCGTCCAAACGTGGTAGGGCTCGACTCGTGAGCTAATCATGGTTAATGGTTTTGCTCTGAGCATGGCGCAGGATAGCACATACCTCCAAAGAACGCTCTAACCGAGCCGTGAACTCAGCAATAATCATGCTCAACTGCTCCCTTCCTGGTACATACGCTTTGCCTCTATATAAGAAGACAGACCGTCTCTCCACCAGCTCTGGGACTCTCTCCCAATCGACCTTATACCAAGATTCTTCATCTACACGGCGCAAACCCGGTGTCGCATTCACAAGATGCTCGGAAAGCTCACGCCTCTCCTCATCACTAATAGGCTCCCAGTCGAGATTGAGGCTCTCAATAAAAGCACGTTTCTCTCGTGAATCATCTTTTTGGAACCGGAACCTAAAAAGCATGGTTTCTGCTCGCGCGAATCGACGACGGAGGTCCTCCGTGGCGGAGAAGGCCAGCCGAAGAATGAAATGCGAGTAGTGATCTTTTTGTCGTTCATTTTTCAAGCGTTGATCGGCCGCACCCAGCGATGAGGAAGTGTTTGAGGATAGTGGAAGATACTTCTGGAGGAGTGGTGTAATATGTGCTTCTGTCTCGGCGGGCGATTTATTTCTATAAGAACAGGCCTCGATTTCGGCCAGGACTGCACCAGTCAATAAATTTAAACAGACAATCAGAAGGCAGAATCCACGTACTCCTCAACCGATCAATAGCCCATTGCTCGAATTGCTCGAGAGTGATCTCTGCCGTCGGCGGGACATCATAAAAGTTCAAGCGGTGCGGATAATCTTGTTGTTTGTAGACTGGTGCAGCAAATTGCTTTTTCTTGTGGTCGAGGGTTGCTCTTCTCTTCGGATCAACTTTGTGGAAGTCTTGCCGAATCATTTTGAGTCCACACTGTCGCAATTCCTAAGTCAGTCAAGGACGTATACACAGCGTTCCTTGACAACCAGGTCTCTATGCTCTGCCCGGACTAAACACGCTCCCGACGCGCCACGCGATCCACACGCGCTTTATGTCACGTGATATCAAGTTGATTGCCTTGACTAGCCGAGGAACAGAATTACAGCAGATGAGTGGATTCGGTGGAGGGCCCATGGGACACTCGGACATAACACTGAGCTATGCATGTGAATCAATTGCATCTCGATTGGGTTATCGCCAATGGATCAAGGTCGTGCAAGCACTGTGTTCCTTCCCCGACTGTCGATATACTTTCATTTACTACTACTCTGCCTTACGGAGTACTTTTCAGGTACCGAGTCGGAAACCTCTCCGGCCCTCAGCTCACCGACTTCCTAAACAGGAAAGCATCGAGATTCCGTGGGGTTTTGGCTTCCTTCCCCGGTTAGATGTAAAATCCGAATTGTTGAGTAGATAATCCCGAGTACAGATCTGAAGGTCAACGAAGCATTCATCCCCTCCAATTTCACATACGTACATAATATACCTACCTACCTTCCTTGCTTCCTACATTTGCCGAAATAATGTCGGAATGATTATAAACTAGCGCGCGCACTCTTCATCACCTCTCCACTCCTCCACTCTCCGCTCAACATTTAGTCCGGTGCTCCGAATCCCAAAAAAACATTGCCAGTCCAAGTCGCAAAAGAGTAGTGTGAAATGACGCTCGCGATTAAGCAGCTCAGTAAGGCTGCTCGTATCATCCTCATCGGCGCCCCTGGTGTTGGAAAGGGCACCCAAACAGAAAGACTTCTTGCCAAGTTTCCGCAACTGGCGTCGATAAGTTCCGGAGACCTCTTACGAGAGAATGTCCGGAAGAAGTCACCATTGGGTAAGCAGGGCCAAATCGTATGCGCTTTAGACACTGCGCCTAACAATTTCGGGGTTCAGGGCTCAAGGCAGAGACCGCAATGCAAGCAGGAAACCTCGTCCCCGATTCTTTAATCCTCGAGCTTATATCTTCCGAATTCAAATCGAAGGGCTGGCTCTCAACATCGTCGAGCTCGTCTATCGCCTCCAACGCCTCATTCATCCTTGACGGTTTCCCGCGCACCGCTGCTCAAGCTTCCAGTTTAGAGACACTTGTTCCTATCAACTTCGTTGTCCAGCTTGTTACACCTCCATCCGTCATTCTCTCCCGGATAGCGTCTCGCTGGGTCCACGAACCATCCGGAAGAGTATATAACACTGATTTCAATGCCCCCAAGGTTCCTGGAAAAGACGATATTACTGGGGAACCTCTGACTCAGAGAGAAGATGACTCGATTGATACATGGAAGCAACGACTTCGCAAATTCGAAGAAACCAGCGAGCCCTTGCTCCAGCATTACGAGCGCAAGGGCTGCCTATGGCGTGTTGAGGGCAACACCAGTGATGAGATTAGCCCACAGCTTTTCGCGGAAGTAGAAAAAAGGTTTTGCTAATATTTCCTTGTATTTGAATATACCACTATTCGACACCTCCCTGTACTCTATTTTTACGATGTTCTGTTTGGCGTCAAACGTTTCTACGACCTGTCAAGGGCTATGATGCGAGATAGTTATGTACCCCTCATTGATGAGGCCATGCTGTTTGTGTTAAGATTCACCTAATAATGCTAGCATGATCGAAAGGAAAGGAAATACAGTTCTTAGATTGGCCATGCGATGCCTTTCTGAATGCGTACCCGTACCGTACCCGTAGATATCGATCGTCCAGTCATAAGAATAAATCGCTATCAAATATACAGACAAATCATATGGGCATATACCTTCTAATATACAGAGTCATATCTATCTTCTTTCTCAATTGCCTCAATTGCCATTACCATGAGACTGCTCCTCCAATCCCATACGAGTCTTGTACTCACGCGGACTCTCCCACCCTTTGCGATTGCGACGATATCCCTTCCACAGACCCGTTCCCTTCTGCTTAGCGATAGATTCCGCCTCCCTATACTTCCGTTCCAATTCAGGGCCTCCAAATTCAGAACCCGCCTTTGCCTCATACACAGTCGCCAATCCACGCGTCAACATCTCATACGAGACATCACGACGACGAAAAGGAATCGGGAAGTCGAAGACCCGTCGCACATACGCAGAGGCCACTACACGCTGATACTGGTCCTGACGGTGCACCAAGACCCGAACGCGGCGATTAAGGACGTACGACGTCAACCATTCATGAGCTTCCCGAGCATAAGGCTGTTCCGGGCGACCAAAATGTGCAAGTTCCGGCGCATCCACACCAGCCAAGCGAACGGAGATCTAAATATAAACCCATTAGACCCCCTTATCTTAGAATAAAATAGCAGATATACTATCACCGCACCGTTTTATCCTTCAGGTCCTTCTTCGCGGTGGGAACTCTCTTCCAAGGCAACCAGCCCCATCCCGCCAGTCTTCCTCCGGGTGTGTGGTATAGTCTGAAACCATCGCCGTCGCCGACGCTCGTCACTTGGCCTAGGATGGTCCTTTTCCGGAAGTACGAGGGCGAGATGCTAACGGCGTCCGGGAAACGGCGCAGGTATCGGCGGTGGATCTGCAGTGCGCCGACGATTCCTGTCGTGAGGATCAAGGTAGGAATTAGAGTCCGGGGTTCGGTGAATGCGGCCCAGTCGATCGCATTGAGGGATTTGTTCCAGTTCTTTTGGTTTTGTTCATCGTGTTGTTCTCGGGCTTGCGATTCGGAAGCCCATGGCGGCCATCGCATGACGACTCATACCCCTCGTAGCTAGGGTTTTACGGAGCTGTGTTGAAGGTGGAATGGTGGGAATGTAGTTGTGACCGCTACTCCGGAGATAACTTACGTTTGTAGCTTGTTGCCGAAGGAATGTATTTAAGGCTAGCCGGGCGGTCGGGTGGAATCAGACTAGTGAGCATATATATATTTACTACTTTACACAACCGCGAAGAAAAAATGGGTTGCAATTATGTAACATCGTTCGATTGCTAACTAAACGAGATGAAGACTTATGTCTTCAATGCGCCTATATAATAGTCCATGCCCAGTATCCGTATCAGTCTGGATATAAGACGTCCACTATGTATACCAATCGCCCAACATGCGTTTGCTGTCTTTTAGATGATTTGCATTCGGCAGATCTATCTTGTGGTTATGCCCATCCTCTAGGACATGCTCTATACATCATAGTTGGAAAATATACAGAAAAAAACTATGCCTGGTAATCATAAGAAGTAAGAAATTTGACAGATCCGAAACCCGCACGCCGTATAGAAGACAATTGACAACAACAAAAAGACCAGCTAGTTGGTATATAGTGGAAGGAAAGTGGGAGCGACGTCTATTTCAGGGTTGCCGGAAGGCTGGTTTTGGCGTTGGCCGCAGCAGTATCGACGACTTTCTTTAGCTTCTGCTCTCTGAGCTTCTTCAAATATGCGAAGAGAACGATGAAAATGAGTTCCATCCTTCAAGGCGTTAGTTCAAGTCCCAGTACACATCCAGATACCGAATACGGCACGTACCTCTCTTTTGTCATCATCAACAAGCCCTGCACCAACAGACCCTTCATGATTTGTGGCCCAATACCCTTAAAGAGGGACAGCGCACCCTCGTTCTGAATGATATACCGCATAACCTCACCAAAGGTCTTGAAGGGCTTGCCTTCGCGACCAGGGGGTGGCCGCGACTGAAGGCCAACCTTGGCCACGATTAATGGCTGGGTTGCAATTGTGGCCATTGCCTTTGAAAGAGCACCAAGAACTGCGGTACTGATTAGTTTCGTATGAAGAAAAATAGAGCCTTGATACCACTTACGGAAAGCCTCCCAAGGCTTCAGATTGTTCCTCCCCTTGAAAAGGACATCCTTCAGACGTTGATAGGCACCGTAGGTAATGGCCGGGTTGACAACCAGGATCAAACTGGCCTTGAGACCTCTCCACAGACCAGACCAGCCATCCTCGCTGTTGACAACTTCCTTACCGGTCTCGATCAGGCCTTTCTTCTCATTCTTTGGCTGTGTCTGCTGCCTAGTTGTGATCACAGCGACTGGAATAGTGAAGATCTGAGCGATAGCCCCCGACACAGCACCAAGGGTAAGCTCCATAGCGGTTCCAGGTGGCTTAGATACGCTCTTTGATGCCATATAAAGGCTTCTGACCACGCTGTACCAGTAGAAGTACGCAAAGTTGGTCGAAGCAACACCAATCAAAGAACCGACCATCCCGGAATATAAACCTTCAACTCCCTCTTTTTCCACAATCTTGTTGATGGCATCTAGGGTCGACTCGTAATGTACTACATCGCCGCTCTTCGATTCAGGTGCGTTCTTCACTTGGACCTGAAGTTTGGTTTTGACACTAAATACCAGGAACGAGTCAGTTTTTGTCCACGCCAGCAGCCCAACTGGCAAGGCTATGTACGCACAGGTCCAGTGGATAGACGATAGCATTTGCAAGAACAGCACCAGTTGCGCCTGCGACAGCACTACCCCAAGGGGAGAGCGCGGGTTTCGATTGGCCGGCCATTATGCAAGATGAGCTAAACTTCCTCTGCCAATTCCGTCAGAAAGAATAGTTTTAAAGCAGAAATATTGGTAGAACCAAGACCGGCGAATGAGGTAGGGCTCTGTGCGATTTCGGGGGTTTAGCGTTCGGCCTGAAGGCTTACCGGATCGACTGATAGAAAAGTTGTATGCCGAGTAAGGTGAAAAGACCCCAGCTCCCAAGCAGCAATAATATGGAGAAAGCTTAAGGAAGGATAGAGGAAGAAAACTAGAAAAAGAAAAAAAAAAGAAGAACCTCAAGAATGATTACACCGTCCCGGCATCCTGAACGTAAAATGCGGGAAGGATAGAGTCGGCAGGGCCAGGGCAGTTGCACCTCGGCGCTCTGGATTGCGCATGACGAAATGAGCCGAGGTTCGTTTTAGAGACCAATTTCTGGACAAACACCGACCTTCGAATTCCCGTTCCTCCCCACCGACACGCTAGTGAATGAATCCAGCCGGCATACTTTTGTTGTTTTGACCAACCCCCATTCCACTGCGAGTGAATTGAGACTAAGTTAACTTGATGAGTACCATTCCATTGCCATTCGCGATAATCATCATAGTGTTGATTGGGTCTTCATAAAACTTGACAAGGAAGTTTGATCGACCTCGGATGTCGCGCCTTCGGAAAATTCACGGGGCCCTTCGGACGGGTCACAAGCAAGGTGTCTGACAGTTGATTGCCCTGTTTAGTCGGATAGACGCTAGTTCCATTGTTATGCCTATCGCGGGGAAGATCTCGGATTGTCACGGTGTTTGAAGATCCCAGGCGCTCATAAATCAAACTTACTACTGCCCCGCGTGCCAGTATGTCTAGACCGAACGCCTCAACCCAGAAGGCCCTTATTACTCAGGCACTGGTACTTGAACCTTTCTTTCTTCCCTTATTTTCTTTTTATGTTCTTATTCTTGTACCTTATTTTCTTTTTTTCTATAACGATACTAACCACTGGCTAGAAAGCCGAGCGTGATGTATCGTCCGCTACTTCTCAAAGGCAAGCTTTAGAAGCTGCCATTGATGCTGCTGAGCACTATATGAAAGCATTGAAACTGGCATCCGTCCAGAAAGATAAACATGCATTGGATGCAAAGTGTAAAGAATGGCTCACAAGAGCGGAAAAGATCAAAGAATCCCAGGACTGGCAAGCTGCCGCCCGCGTCCATGACAAATCTGTTCCAGAGCCACGGTTGCCCGTATCTACTCGTAAGCTCACCACTCGGGAGGAGATCATTCTTCTAGAGGGGGCCAAGTTGAATGGCTTCATATTCCCTCCATGGTCCACCTCCCCAGGCTCTGATGAATTCAAACGAGAGGATGGTGAATCCCCGTTTACGTAAGTTCTGGTGGTCTGCATTGTCAATGCAATGTTGCATGTATACTCAGATGACTGCTGGATATTCTAACCGATATCAGCGATAAACCCGACCTTCATCTATCCTATCCTCAGAGGAAAGTTTTTGATGGTTGGAAACGACCTTCCGAGCTTCTCGGGAAAGACACGGAAGATGTGTACACCAGCGTGGTTCCTGTGATGTCTGTTCCAGGGAAAACAGACCTAGTCCAGGATATGCTGACGGACTGTTCTGTCGTCGCCAGCCTTTGTGCTACTACATCAATGTTAGAACGTGGCCAATGCACTGTAAGCAGGTTGATCCTTTCCGGCTGACCTGCATGGTTCGCTGTGACTAATAGGTACAGCATTTTCTTCCAATGATATACCCTAGCCGAGGGAGCTTTCAGCCTTCACCATCAGGCAAGTATATATTCCGCTTTTATTTCAATGGGTGCTTTCGGAAAGTCGTCATTGACGACCGTTTGCCATCGTCTAAAACGTCAAGATCACTCCACGTGATCGACCGGAAAAATCCCAATTTCCTATGGCCTGCGCTAGTAGAGAAGGCGTATCTGAAATTGCGTGGAGGCTATGATTTTCCTGGAAGCAATTCCGGGACAGATCTCTGGGTACTGACAGGTTGGATCCCCGAGCAAGTCTTTCTCCATAATGACGATGTGACCGGCGACCAGCTTTGGAAGCGGCTTTACAGATCTTTTCACCACGGAGATGTTCTCTTGACTATAGGTACCGGTGAACTCACCGAGAGGGAACAGAGAGAACTAGGACTCGTGAGTGAGCATGATTATGCCATACTGGATATGAAGGAATCTAAAGGCCGCCGTCAATTACTCGTGAAAAATCCTTGGGCTGGAGCAGATACTGCCCCCGGAGACAATAGGAGCCTCGCTGCATCCCAGGATCTACCCCATAACCCGCCCTCATTTGAACCGGGTACCTTCTGGATGGATTGCGAAAAGCTCCTTCAACATTTTGAAAACCTCTATCTGAATTGGAACCCTGAGATTTTCAAATACCGCGAAGACGTCCACTTTACATGGGACCTTAACAACGGGAGAGGCGTAGCTGGCTGTTTTGTGAATAATCCGCAGTTCGCAGTGTCAACTGAGAATGCTGGGATCGTCTGGCTACTGCTAGGCAAGCATTTCAGAACAACTGGGCAGCCAGAACGACCTCTTGACGAATACCAAACCAATGAGGAGTCGGCTTTTATTAGCATATACGTCTTCAACGCAGATGGCAAACGGGTCTCTTTGAGTGACGGGGCTCTACATCGTGGCCCCTATGTGGATTCCCCGAATACGCTCATGAGGTTAGAGATGCCTCCCCGAACAACTTATACAGTCGTGGTCTCCGAGCAATCGCTGCCATCGTTGAATCAAAACTTTACTTTATCTGCCTTCTCTACCTCCCCTGTACGGATGGCAAAAGCTCAAGACAAATACATGTGCGTGAGGAAGGTTCAAGGGTCTTGGACACCTTCGACTGCCGGTGGAAATGCCGAATCTTCCAGATATGCACTCAATCCCCAATTCAGGCTGGAAATAGAGAACGATACAGACGTCTCACTCCTCCTGGAATGCCCAGATACGGAACTCGCGACCCATGTTAAATTATTCTGGTCCAATGGAAATCGTGTGTCGCGAGTACGCAGTCGCGACATAATCGCTGATAGTGGTGACTATCGCCGTGGTGGTTCCCTTGTGGAAAAGAAGGCTCTGGAACCGGGCTCATATACGATCGTCTGCTCCACATTCGCGCCAGATCAACTTGGCCGATTCACGCTCTGGGTATCCTCCTTAGTTCCTTGCAAGACGAGCCCGCTCCCACCAGAGGCAGCAGGGCGACGGACGGTCATTTCGGATATTGGCATACTGCCTCCGGGGAGAGACCGAATGCTGGCTTCTCTGCAAGTGCCGCGGCTTACGAGGATCAAGCTCATTACCCGAAGTAGGCAATCCATCATCGGGGGCCATCCTGTTGGACCCTCACCCGTGCTAATGACAGTGGAACTCGGGCAAGGGCCATACAAACAGATCCTGGCGACTTCGGAAGATGGAACTCACAGTGATGCCATATCAGGCGTCCGTGTTGAGGACTTTGACTTGCAGCCAGGGCTAGAGGAAAGTGGTGGTATATGGCTTGTTATTGAGAGGATTGGAGGTCCTGGAGGGCAGGTGGAGGACCATTTTGAGGTGGAAGCTTTGGCTGAAGAGAGAGTTGAAATTGGGGAGTGGATACTTGAAGATGCTTGATCTCTTATCCTGCAGAAGCTCTGAACGCTCTTAGTTGGGCTTCTTGGGTCGTCGTATTTAATAGCATGTTAGAGTAGAAGACCAGATACAACGATAGACATTACCCTTTTTTTTTTTTTTTTTTTAATTTATCTTTCTGCCAGAAGAAAACAAACAAATAAATAAATACATCAAAAATAAGAAATTATCTATAGATAGGAGTAACCTTTGGGGCTATTTTTTTGTCGTGACCGCCAAAATCGAGTTAGCCTGCTTTACTCCGCATAAATTAAAATTAAATCCTCGGCTCGGGCCCCCGAATTCCCCTCCGAGAGCTTTCAACGTCATCCCGCTTGCTGTGTGCATTGTGCCTCCCCACCTTAAAGACGATATTCTTATCCTTGCCAGCCTCCATGGCGAGTAACATTCCTGCTGCTCTGAAGTCTGCGGACATTGGGCGCTTTGCTGTCAGAGCAGCGCAGCTTGAACGTGTAAAGCCCGTAGTCGCCTATTGGTGTGAGTGTTGTGTGATTGTACCCCGTACGGACTACGAGCTGATAAGCGGCCTTGGCTGATCACAGGCAACTTCTGGATTGTCAACCAGATCATTGAGAAAGGTCTACACACCTCTGATGATGAAGTGAAGCTATACACTACAGAACTCGTCGATAAGCTGGAAAAGGTATACCAAAGCTATGCCCGATTAAACCCTGATGTTGACCAGAGACTAATATCTCGACGTTCCAAGTTTAAAAATGAGAACCCCGATAATGATACGGTGACAGATGCCGTCGCGGCAAATGCATACGTGGAGCAATTTGGTTTGGAGATCTTTGGGCGTGCAGAGGCAACCATGAGGGCCAACAAGGTGACAAAGTTCGCTGCCCTTCCCCTACCTTTCGAGGATAAACACTAATTTGTTGCAGGCAAACTGCTGATACGTTCCAAGCAGCTGCCACGTTCCTTGAACTCTGTCAGATATGGAATCGTCTTGAGCCGGAGGCCGCTGCAAAAATCAAATTCGCCAAGTATCATGCGGTGAGGATTGCGAAAGCAATTAGGGCCGGAGAGGACCCGAACGAGTCGAACCCAGTTATGAAAGAGGAAGATGAAATAGAGAGAGATGGTTTGGATGTGCAGAAGGATGATCCTGAGGTTCAGGCAATTGTTGGATCGCCGCCCACACAATCGAGACAGCCGTCGGTAGAAGACGTCCCCGAGGATTCTACGCATCCTGCAGGACCATCTCCGTCTTTACCGCAGCCCCCAACTGGTTTCACCGAAGTACCTGCTGCATCGCATGATGCCGCACGTAGTCCAACCCAAGATATGGACGTTGACACAGAGCAAGGCGCACCGCTGAACCTCCCCTCAGCACCTGCGACACTCACGTCATCTTCGACTTCGGTCCCTAATCTTCCAGACACGCCTACACGCGTTGGAACCCACCAATCTCCAGGGGCTCCCGACGCTTTTCAATCCTTTCCTCCACCGTCGACAATGCCTCCTTCGAGCCCACCAGCTGTCTCTCACGATCCTAGTTCTTTCTACAGCCAACCTAGTGCCACACCTCAGCCTGCGCGATCTCCTCCCGCAGCTGCTCCTGTAATGCCACACCCAGCACCCAAGCCTGTCCATGCATCTACACCTATAATGTCTACTGCATCCTCATCTAGCTATGCAAATTCACAAGCAGTTGACGATAATTCCATTGCTCTTGCTCAGAAGCACGCCCGTTGGGCTGTGTCCGCCTTGACTTTTGATGATGTCAACACAGCTATCAAGGAACTAAAAAATTCTCTGAAGTGTCTCGGGGCTGAGTAACGGCAGAGCACAAATGCTACACCTCAGTGACCTGTCCAATGATTTTTAAGGTCAAATTGTACGAACAATTCCATTTTCGTGCTTCTATGTCTGCGTCTCCTATGGAGATGCTTAAGAGGGGCTTCACTCAAGACTCCTTTTCGAGATATTGTGCTGTTATTCTACTTTGACTATTAATGATGAGATGACTATATAAGCACATTCATGGCTCTGCAACGAGTCGCAATTGGTTTTCGATTCATGTACACTACTGTACGTCCTTTCCATACTTCGTAGCGGTATATGTAGTACCCAATACATACACTAGCTCTACCCCTCCTGTATCTTCTTACTGTTTTCAACACTATTATCTCCATTCACTTTCTATGTGAATCAATCTACATTTCTACTTAAATACTCCACTGAGTTCCCTAAGGGTGCAGACGCCTATTTATATCCCCAGATCAGCTCATTTCTTCCACCGTCATCCATATCATCTCACAAGGCAGCCACAGGATATATGACTTGACACTGACACTTAGGCAGAGCAATGTCGATGCCAGGATCATTGATATTCATTCTCGCTTATATTTCATGGCAACAGACAGACTCTGTAACACACTGTCACAATACAATAGACTGGTCGAGACTCGAACTTGTATAGTATTATTATATCTATCTATAACTAACTACTGATCATCACCTAGCTGATTACTAATAAACAAATAAATACTTACTGTACAGTAACCATAAACCGTAGATTTATTACTGAGATACTCCAAATGGATTTGAAATACAACTAGTTATAATACTCTAGACTATTAGTCTCCTTTATCCTGTACATATAATTGAGACATTTAATATACCATTTCCGAGAATACGAGTGTCAGCTGGGGTTGTATAAGACTCGGTGATCGGGAAGGAAAGTCTTGCCCGTCGTTCCGAGTTTAATATAGTGCCTATGTCTAGATAGAACGATGCCCACTGGTTCTCTCACCCTTCGGGTAATTACTAGGTGAACGGGACCACATTCCCTTGGGTCACACGGCATTTCACAGAGAAATTGCTATTTTTGTCTGGGTTAGGTCGAGGAAAATAAACTTGAAACGACCGCATCCCGGAGCCATAACACTAGTTGAATGCTCAACAGGGGGCCCCTGTCGAGAGCTCTATTTGTTAGACTTATTCAACCCATAGTATCGGTACAGTAGAGTATAGATTGCGAAGACAGTAGTAAAATATGGGAGAAAAAAATAGTCTAGAAGAGTGATTTCGATATCTTGTTGGCAACATGTATTTCCAATCCAGAATAAAAAAAATTTGAGCTGCGAAAGCAAAGCTCAAGTCTTTCACATGCAAGCGGTGTGGGAGTCTAAAGGTGCTGGATATCCATGATCAGAAAAATGGGATAGTTCACATAACACAAGCGAATCAGAAAACCAGCTGAACATACCGGCGCTCAAGAACAGATCCTGATTGAACTAGAGAAAGGATATTATAGATTACAAGTAGAGCGGTGACCATACATAGTACAGGACAACATTTGGCGGCTCAAGGTGGGTGATTAACAAGGGCGAGAGGTGGTCTATGCGCTCGAAATTTCAGATAGAGGTTTTTGCCAATGCAGATATCCGTCGTCAATGCAGGCGAAGGTACGGCAGCGGTCGTGAATGGGTCGTCATTATTGAATGCCATCATACTTTTGTGACTTTGGGCCAAGTTTGATCAAAGCGAGGGGTTGAAAAAATGGGTGGTCAGGACTTCACGGTGTACGAGAGGCCCTATGGCCACCAGCCCATCCGTTTGTAGCTCTCCACCATATCCCGTACGCCGTCTGCATTGAAGCGTTCCCGGGTGGGTTTCCAGCCGGTTGTCTTCTCAAAAAGCGTGCCATCAAGCCACATATCTTGGTCCTTGAATACGTCCCTCTCTAGGAACGGGCTGATCGGACCTGGCCGCTCAATCTTTTTCTGTTCCATCAATTCAGCCCAGACCTGCAGACATTCCTCGTTCATGTCGTCTATCACATCGTCGAGGTTGAGTTTGGCAAGCTGCGAGGCCAGAGATCCTAGGAATGAGCATTTGAGACCAAATATGGTAGAGAGCGCATCGGCAATATCCTGCTGACGAGTATTACCGTGGTCGACCACGTTGAAGGCAATGGGAGCTGAGCCATCCGTCGGAGCGGTTGCCCTCCACTCGGCAGACTTCCACAGGGCGCTGGCTGCATCTTTAACGTAAAGGGTGTTCATCTTGATGTCTCCGGTGTAAAGAAGCTCTAGATCTTTCTCCATTTCAAGATGTACTCGCGCGAGGCACACTCCCATAGCGAAAAAGCCCGAGCAATATTCTCCGTAAACATGTGGTAGGCGCAGCAAGCAGTAGTTGAGGCCAGGGATTTTGCTAATTTCGTCACTAGCCTTCATCTTCCACTTTGCCAGCTTATGCCATGGCTGGAGCTTGTCGTTCTCCTTCCGTGGTGATGATCCGGATTTGTAAACGTGGGCGGTGGAGCATTCGACATAAGAACGGATTCCTCGACGGGCCACCTCACGAGCCAAGGCAACAGTGAGGTTGTAATTGCGAAGCTCATATACATCGTCAGGTTGTGAGTGCCTTGTCTCGCCTCCACAGTTGATTACGTAGTCGAATTGTTCGCCGTTGGCCCGATCGAAAACACGCGGGAAATGCTCTAGATGGCAACGCGGGGAGAGTTAGTATGGAACATTATCGCCTGTGCAAAAGTCTAGAAGCTGAGTTCACTCACGTTCCCGGCTAGCGTCCGCTTGAACGAACTTATCTTTGGAGCAAGCCTCCTGGAATTCAGGGGCTAACCAAGCCAGTTGAGGAAGGACTTTGTCGACAAGTCTCACTTCCGAGGCCAGGTTATTTTCATGTATGTAAAGTGCCAGATGACGACCGATAAATCCTGCGAAACGCAAGACGTTTGGGTTAGCTCATGTACCCCCCTTGCATCACCATGAGCCGCAGAATTATCTGTCGCATGTACATACCGAGTCCTCCAACAATCAGCACGGCTGGCTTTTTGCTCTGATCACTCGCCATGGCGGTATGTGAGAGGGGACCGTATCAGGGTGCGAAAGTGGTAATGTGATTCAATTTACTGCTTTTTTTCTGAGCAGTTATCGCCGGTTCTCAAACCCCACACGCAAGCTTTAAGCAAACAAAGAATGCGGGGAGCCAGCGAAAAGGGGGAGGGGAATAAAGGGCAGAAGTGTATCGGGAGAGAAAGTGCGATGAGGGGAAGTCTGAGAAGGAGAGATAAGAGGCGCCGAGGAAGAATATAGTGGGTTATAAACGTAAAATATGGAGAACAAAGAAGAGAGTTCTGCCTTCACTATTTAAAATTAAAGAAGGGCGGGAAAGGAAGTGCCAAACGGAGAGAAGCACAGATAATAAAAAAAATAAAAAAGTTGAAGAGAAGCAGCAGGAGATGAGCAGGAGACAAGAGTGGTTTTGGGGCAACGACCAATTTGGAACTAACGACGCTTTGATGAATTGGGGCGTATCACCTGCTCGTCCTGTGACTGTAAAACTACTACTCAGTGACTAGTAAACTACTTACTCACGAATCCTCTCTTCCCCATTATTTCCCCCCTCCACCCAATGGGACACAGTTGGATTTTTTTTTTTTGCCAGTTTCAATAAGCGTGTTCTCATTCTCCCTTAGTATATCGCTCGTGCTTTGCTTTAATTGAACCCCATTCCCGAGTGATGTCTACACGACCATTTCCCTATACCAGCAAAAACTCAATTGCTGATATCATGTAATCGTCCCCATCCAGTTCTGGATGAAACGGAAAACACTTACGATGGTTTGCAGCTCATCCTAACATGAGTCCCCCCCACCCCCCACGTTTGATATGCGAGAATAGCCGAATCACCCACTATAATCTTTACTTATGATCACTCGCGTTGCGGCTGAGGACACTGGACCAACGCGAAAGAGGGTCTATCCCAAATTCCCAATCCTCCAAACCGAGCAAACTCCGTTAGTCTGCGTCTAGAAATTTCGCCAGCAGGGTGGGTTGGGACTTTTCTCGGGATTGAAAATTTAGAGCGCTCCAAAATGGGGGGCAGAACAAAGGTGATTCATCATTCCTTCCCCTGCCAAGTCGCGCGTTGTGGGACATCTTCCGTTCTTCAGGGACGCCGTCCGATCATAGTCCCGCGTCTAAGTGGGTAAAAGGGAGGAGGTGAGAAACGAGAGGGGAGCGGACAAAGGGAGGAAGGGGAAAAAAAAAAAAGAAGAAAATGAGGAAAGTTAAGTGGATGGATAGAAAAAAGTCAAAAGGAAAAAAAAGGGTTTTTGGGTTCAACCGTCGCAAATACCAATGATGATCAACCCTTCCTTGATATCAGAACACTCTAAAAAAAAAAAAAAAAAAAAAAAACCTAACTTCAGTCAACGACAGCGAGAGAAAGGCTTCCCATTGAGTATGATCATCGCAGGGAATGAAATTGGATCGACGGCCTATTTCCTATATGATACAGAGTGACTGGGATCAGTGGATATGTTTATGGGGTATGGGAGATAATGCACTCCATAGGTATATAATATGTTCTACTATTATGCGCGTCCCCAAGGGAAGAAAGAAAAAAGAAAGTAGTAGGGAAGAAATCGGGGGAAATGTCTCACCCAATCTCTCGGGATGGAAGGAAACCGACTACGGCAACTATCGGTCTCTTAAATCGAAGGTTGAAGGGAAAATCGGATACCTAGACCGGGAACATTGGTTTAGAATTCCAAATGGTATTCTTAATAGCTCTGTTAAAGGGGGAGGGAAGGGAAAAAAAAAAGGCGCTCCCCTCGGCTCGGTCCACAGAAATGACCCAATACCGATAAAGACAATTGAATCCCGGTGAGTGAGTTCTTAGTTCTTAGTACTCCGTCCTCGTCCTTACGCTGTAATCGGTGGGAATTAAAGAGAAGGGCAAACCTTGACGTCAGTTTATTACGACTTAATTATTCTCCGGCCCAATAATTACCCCAGCCGGGATTTGCATCTCGTTCCATGGGCCAAAGGATGATCTGCCCATGGTTCGTGCAGCAACGGTATACTGAGTAGCTACCAAGCCTTCTGTAGTTCTTGCGCTAGTGTCTTCTTCCATTGAACTGCCTATGTATGCTGAAACGTTGTAGTGTGCCCAATAGAGTTCCTTCTCTTTTGTTGTTTTCATTTCTTCAATCTCCTAAGCCCCTTTGTTATTCCTATCATCCTCCAAGAATTGTCAAATGTACTGCAACTTCCCGCTTATCAATCCTCAACTAACGAACAGAAAGCCAATAACAGATCAACCAACGTGGAGCATCACTTTAATCCTGAACTGCTGAACTGAGCCACCATCCAGATTGAGTTCCTTAGCCTTCCAAGCCTTCTGTAGTTCTTGGAAAACAATAGTCAGGTCGTGATCGACCCCCTGCCGGACACGAATTTCAAATTCTGACCATTCAAACCTGACGGAAGCTGCCAGGACCGATTGCCCAGTCTGCCAGTTCGAGTTTTCCGTCAAGATCTGTTGGGACGGACTCCACTCAACCACACTGCACTCAGCAGCCATGTGCCCCAAGAACGAAGATGCGGACGGGAAATTCTGAAACGACACCCAGACAGGAGCCATTCCTTCCTGGTTCGAAGCCTCCACCAAGAATTTGGTACCATTCGGGTAGTGTCCCTCTAGATTACTCACCTTGTCATCAGTTGCGCTTGTCTTATTGTTAGCACTGGTCCCATCCGCTTTCAGGCTTGTTGGCTCGGGAAGACTGTTGCCATTGTTCTCCTTGCAATCACCCCAAATGAAGCTAAATGGGCGTATACCACTCGGCGCTGAGATACCAGGCTTTTGGCTAGTGGATTCTGAGGCGTCCATGCCCCAATTGGTCGACGTCTTGTGTCTGTCGGATGCCCTTCTCTTGAGTTTGTCATCTCCATCATTTGTCTGGTTCGCGGTAGATCTGAAAAGCTCCGGGCTTGAAGTTGATGTGGCATAGGGAGAATTTCCCCAGAGCGGTGGCACAGAAGCAGAAGTGCGTCGAGTGGGTGTGGCGAGCTATTTATAATCCCACAATGTTTTGTGAGCTACTATGTGGACAGTAGGAGACGGCTCAGTACTGACCTCTATCGCATTCTGTTTGTCTTTGTTCCTCATAGCACTATTTGCCTTTCTTTCAAGCAAGAGAGCAACCGTGCGAATGATTCTGTGGATTAATAAGCAGTAAGCATAACTAAATAACGAAGCTTGACAGGAAGGTCTCCAGCAACCCGACTTACTCATCTTTCCGCTCTGGGTAGGTACAGAGAGATTCAGGCTCGTTGAAAGCATCTGGCAGCAGGTACATCTTGCGGGTTTCCGCGCCCCAGTATGTCATGCCGTACTTTTCCACGAATCTCTCAGCACAGAAGCGTCTCTTGGACTCGAAGGTTTGAAGTTCAGTCCAGCTGTAATTGGTCACCTGGGCATGTTCGCGTAGACGGTTTATGAACTCGGTGTGATAATCAAACTTCAAGTCCAGGAACGTAGTAAACTTTCGGTCGCGACACTTGGCATTCAGGCGACCCTCATCCAGATCGCACTTCATGGGATGTGGCTCCATGGTCGTCAGCATTTTGAACTTTGGAACAAGTGATAAGTCAGAGTGGCGGCCTGCTTCGTGTGATTCCTGGCCTCGAAGGTGAGGGAGACACTAGGTAATGGGACACTGACCCAGATGCGCATACCATGTGTAGGGAAGAAGAGCCATAGTAGCTCAAGCAACGTAACAGTAGATGTAAAGTAGCAGGGCGAAGCAGTGAATGATAGACTGTTGTGTTGCTATGGGAGATCAACCAACAACAGAAAGGGTCTATTATTAGGTCAACATCCTTAGGGAATTTCATGAACTACTCAAGCACGAATATACTAGTAGATTGATTCATACAGGAAGTGAATGGAGATAAAAGTGTTGAAAACTGTAACAAGTTACTTACTCAATAATCTCTTTTACTGGAGCCTTTTTTTTTCGCCCGGAGCAAAGGGCAGATTGGTGGTCACCATGTCTTTGCGTAAGTCTTCGGAATCAAGCCTAGTCAATAGTTAGTCCACTTTCTGCTTAGGCTGCTTAATCCTAGGAGCTCTGCAGTGTTCTGGTTCTTAGTAGTGGCTTAGTGGAGTGCACCGGATGACAAGAATGTACAATATTGTATTTTGCATAAGTCGCTGCTAAGATCTATCCATCTTGATGAGTCTCCAAGTCTGCAGACCTGTGTATTGCTTAATATATGGTAGTGCTTCCTCCTTTCTGTTCCCGTTCTTCTTTCTTTCTCTTAGTTCTTCTCTTGTTAACGAGTCTGAAGAGATGCTGTACATACAACAGAGCGAAGCAATGATAGAAGCAAGTATAGCACAGATGTATGTGGCTTTTGCAAGCGTATCCCAAAAAAAGGCATTTGCTTTGGAAATTAACCTCAGAAAGACGAAAGGAAATATCGAAACCATAATATGCGACATATACCACAGCCCTTCTATCTGCCGCAAGGGTGGCCGAGAAGGGAATAAAAGCAACTAAAAATATAAAGGGCACGGAGATAACGAGATGCAAAGCCGTGTAAAAAACTTCAAATTCGCACTTTCGTGAGTTCTGCTTGGGAATGCAAAATCTAAAATTCCCAATCCTCCTCAACGGACTTGATAGCCCACTCAAACTTCTCACGCAACGACTTGGAGAAGAATTTCTCGATTGGGACGTTGAACTTCTTGCTGAAAACGACCGTGAGACGAGGGTCGATATAGTTCTGCACGGTGTTAGACAACCTATCGAGGCGAGTCCGGGGCAGGGGAAACTTACAATTTTGGACGTTCCGAGGGCTACTTCTTTGTTGTCTTCCTTGTCCTGAGCTTGCAATTCCATGGTCTCAATACGATGCTCAAGCTTCTGGATGGCGTTCTCAAGCTTGTCGACTGTGGGGCCTTTGCCTTCAGCTTCCACTTTTCCTGTCTTGTTCTCTTTGTTGAACTTCTTTTCCATGTCTTTGACCACTTCCAGCCGGTTTTCAAGTTCTTTGGCCTTCATTTCCTTCTCCCCTTCTGCCGCAAGCTTCTCGTTATCCTTGTCGAACTTCTTCTGGATCTTTTGGCGTTGTTCTTCGAGTAAGAAAGCCTGGTGCTCCTTGATCCACTCCATGTCAATATCCTCATCCATTTCGAAGAATTTAGCCCCCTTCTTTTTCTTAAGACTAGGTTCTAGATCAAGCATCTGCTGCTTGAGGCGCCACCTTTGGTAACGGAGACCTTTTATCTGCGCAGTGGAAGTGGAAATCGTCAGCACTCTCGGAGGCTAAGATCTAGATCGTGTATGTGATACTTACCCTCTCACCCATCTTCTCCATTTGATTAGCGTGAGATGCAGTCACGGTTCGCTTGTGGTTACAGAGAATGGCCACTTGACGGTTGGCATCGTTGTACGCCTTGACCTTCTCTGCAATCGTACCGGTCGCTTTCATCTCCCTGAGCAGTGTACCCATCGTGTGTGAAGCGTTGTAGGTACGGAAAACTTTCGCCGTCAAGCCCTGCATATAGTTCGAAAGGTGCTTGTTGAGCGCAGATGTCTACAGAATTTGGATGTCAGCGAGCATTTTAAAAAAAGACAAACGCAGGCAGGGTAACCTACCGTTAACCGATCAAAGATCTCATCGCCTTCCTTCTTAGGGCTTTTCTTGAAGATCTTCAGGTTTTTGAAGACCTGGGCATCGACCTCGACTTCATCATAGAATCGGATACTGTCCTTACCCAAGAAGTCGAAGATAACCTTGTTTGGTGGCTTGAGCGTGACGTTCTCGTATTTCAAAGAGCAACAGCCAACTGTTTCCGCTTCGTCTTCACCCTTTTCATTACCAGCACGAAGGGCAAACTGATCTATCAAGTAGACAGCCGTCGCTTTCTGTCTCTCCACCATCAACTCGTTCTTCATATTCTTCTTGTAGTCCTTGCGAATTTTATCAATGTGATGTTTCAATTCGCGAGCCTTTTCGAACTTCTTGTAATCGCTCTGGCCCTTAACATCGGAGTTCGCGGCAAGCATCACATATTTGTAATTGCCATTGATGTTCTCCTGCCACATAGCAAGCCACGTGCCCTCTTGATCGTGCTTGACTTCTTTCCAACGGTGGCCCTCCGGCGGTGGAGGTACAGGAGCGTCCTTTCCGATGTTGATGGTGATCTGCTCAGGCTGAACTCTAGACTTAACACGTCCCGTCTTGGGGTGCTCACCACGGCCACGGAAAAGAGAAGGGGGTTCAACACGGAAGTTTCCGACCTTCTGCTTTCGGCCGTCCCATATGCAGTACATATAGGGGGCTTCTTCAGCATCTTTTTCAGCCTTCAGGCGCTTCTTCTCAGCTGGGGGTAGGTTCTTCTTCTCTTGGCGCTTCATGTCATAGTATGCGAAAATTGGCTGGAAGTCGCACTTGGAGAAGTCCTTGATATCGACCTTGTTACCCTTGGAGTCTGTTGCGCCGCCTGTCTTTTTAAGAACATCTTTAAAGTCCATAAAGAAATTCTTCTGGAAAGTAGGGTTTTCAACATGCTGAGTCGCATTCAACATGCTTCCAAAGAAGCCTGCCACCTCTTCCGCATCAGGGTGAAGATTGACTGGAACACCATCATATTTCAATTTGACATCCTTTGGTAGGGGTTCGTACGGTGGGGGGAAGACGACACCGTTGTGTTCGAGGGTAGTCCACTTTATCGTTCCATCACCCTTCGTAGGATCTTCCCACCACCTATACTCTTCTTCCTCGCCTTCCTCGGCCTCTTCGCTCGCTTCCTTTTTCACTGGCGTAGCTTTCGCACTCCCTTTCTTTGCGGGGGTAGACTGCGCAGACTTCGGTTCTGTCTTTACCTTTGCTGTAGATGCTCTCTTCACAAGCTTTTTATCATCGACTGGCTCCTTTTTGATGCCGTTGGTCGGCTTTTTGGTCGCTGCCGCCTTCGCGGACGCTTGTTTGCGACTAGCTTGGGCGTCTTTTTCTGCCTTCTGTTGAATTCTCTTCTTCTGAGAAGCAAGTTTCCTTTCGATGGGAACATCCGAGTCGGACTCTTCGACAATCGAAGTCTCTGCAGCCTTTGGCAGCTTTCTCCCGTTAAGCGCTAAAGGTACATCTTCATCCGTTTCCGGATCTTCATGCTTCACAGAAGTGCGACGGCGCTTGCTCTGTCGAATAGTCAGCTGCTGAAACTAACACTGACAGCGCCGCAAAGGAAGGGGTTTAACGTAGGGAATGGCGCGGGCTGGTTCTGGCGTACCAAGGGCTGGTCATCCTCTTCACTGCTCTCTGGTTCCGCGTAGGATTTTCTTTGACCAACGCTAGTTCGCGCTTTTCTTTTGCTGAGGGCGCCGTTGTCCTGAGCTTCCGCATCCGCCATCTGAACATCATTGTCCTTCTGCACGGGTCCGAAACGGTTTGAGATGCCAGGGTTGACATCGCCGTTTGTCTCTGTCGCATCGCCCATGATCACGTTAGGGGTAACTAGATGAGATTATATGTAAGAAAAACCTATCCATGACATATATCCAAGCTCAATAGGAGCGAATCTCAGATCGTATTCAAGGGCGAGAGGATTTGTAGTGATGCGAAAAGCGCAAACCGGCTGTCGCTAGACCCGGGAGATGTAGGAGAACTCACCAGTAGATCGGCCGTTTGCTTTCACAAGTGGGGTATCGTCCTCTGAGGAGCTCATGATGCTTGGATACGAGTGAATGGGCAAGCGTTGGTTAAAGAACGGAGCGTACAGGTGAGTTCGACAGGGAAACCTGTAAACCGGAACGGACTTGCCCAGTCGGAAGAGTAAGACTGGCGCTTGACAGAAGGATGAAGTCAGAGAGAATCTGACCAATGGAAAGGGTGAGAGGAGAGCAGATGTCAGGAGAAGAGTAAATACATTGACTGAAGAGGGGGAAGAGGTGGCAATAATGAGAAGAGTGAAACAAGAAAGGGAAAGGGCTGACAAGCTGAGAGAGGAAAAAGAGAGGAAAGAAAGGAATGCAATGGAAAACGAGGCCGTCTTTTGGGGCCTGAGGCGATCTCTCACGTTTCTCCGGACCGCCAGCCAGTCTGGTTGCGAGGCGGGCGACTGCCTGAGGCGACCAACCCAAAACACAGCGTCATTGACACAACCTGCTCCGAGGCTGGCTGAGCGTCGATGCCTGCATGCCTGAAGAGGAATGCCGGGATTTTCGGGTTAAAGGTTTGTGCGTACTGCGCATCTGGCTTTTCAGGTCTCCCCGACAACCTTCCCGTTCAGGAATAGTGCGGCTTTGTTCCCGTTCTGCCGGCTGTCGGACGAACAGAAACAGGAGTCCAAGTCAACGTCTTCTCTTCCCGCTAAAGCAGAGGTCTCACTACCCACCCTCGCGGCTCTTCCCTCTGCAGCTTTCCATCGCTGGTCATTATATCTTGACCTTACGGTCCGACCTCATAATGTTCTCTCGTGCTGTTCGCCCGGCCGTCAGGGCCGGTAGTGCTGTTGTCACCCGGTGAGTTCTCTTCCGGACCTCTTCACACCCACCTGGGCACCTTCCAAAACAGACCTCCAATCATCCGCGAAGAAAAGAGAAAACCTTGGGATTCTAGGATGATTGCGTTCAATACGGTGGCCATTTACTAATTTCTTTGTGAAGCACTGCTCCTCCCAATGCCGCCAACTTCGCGACTCTGCGTGAAATCGAGGGCCGTCTTAAGTCCATCAAGAACATTGAAAAGATCACCAACACCATGAAGGTCATTGCTTCTACCCGTCTTACCCGCGCTCAGAAGGCCATGGATGAGTCTCGCACCTACGGTGAGACCTCCAACACCGTTTTCGAGAAGGCCGAGACCAAGCCCCTCGAAGACAAGAAGACTTTGCTCGTCGTCGCCAGCTCCGACAAGGGTCTTTGTGGTGGTATCCACTCCGGTCTGAGCAAGGCTACCCGTCGTATCCTCCTGGAACACACCGACGCCGACATCGTGGTTCTTGGTGAGAAGGCCAAGGCTCAGCTCTCCAGAACCAACCCCAACGCTCTCGTCCTGAGCTTCGCCAACGTCTGCAAGGACATTCCCACCTTTGCTGATGCCCAGGCCGTTGCCGACCAGATTGCTCTGCTGCCCGCCGACTACGCCAGCGTTAAGATCATCTACAACAAGTGGATCAACGCCCAGAGCTACGAGCCCGCCACTGTTGAGGCTTACTCCGAGGAGGCCATCACCAAGTCCGGTTAGTGTTTTTTAACCGTCTTCTCGCTTATATAAAAGACTAGTATGCTGAACTTTTTCTCCAAAGCCAACATCTCCTCCTTCGAGATTGACGACCAGGCTCTTGCCAACCTCCGTGAATATGCTCTTGCCAACAGCCTGTTCTGGGCTATGGCTGAAGGCCACGCTTGTGAGATTTCTGTAAGTTCATTACCGATATAGTGTGGATATTCGAATCATTACTAACTCATCGATCCACAGGCCCGTCGTAATGCAATGGAGGCAAGTATCACCTGAACAGTTGAGGTGCTCGTTGACCTAGACTAACGAACCATTTCTTTACAGAACGCCTCGAAGAACGCTGGTGAGATGATCAACAAGTGAGTACCGCTCAATACATAAACTGGGATCCAAAATCTAATGTCCTGCAGGTTCCAGATTCTGTACAACCGTCAGCGTCAAGCCGCCATTACCGGTGAACTGGTTGAAATTATTACTGGTGCCACCGCCAGTGCTGACATGTAGAAGCTTTTATGATGCTTCAGTGGGAAGGAGTCGACATGTGTGTAGACTTACTCTTAAATACCTAGCTAGATTTTTATCAGCCTGTAAATCAGTCTATCCATCTTTCTTTTGTCTCGTTTTCCCCCCTGGCCAAGTATTGTAACTTTTTCTTATTGCTCTTGTTTTTATCATTTTTCTTCCCCCTCGTTCGTTGCCTATTATCGTTTTACCGCCTCGGATATTGCTGTTTCAGAGAATTCACCGTTTCTTGTACAAGACGGTGCTTTTCTGAGACTGGGCACATGATATTCCCCTGGTCTGAGACTGGCAACCACCGTGACAACAAACAATGTGAATCAAACGGAAAGTGCACTACTTGTCTTACATGCAAACAGTGACTCTTATGTTTCACTCCAACTAAGCCACAGACTTCCCATTCAGCTTTCCCAGTCTACTCGAATGGAGTCGATGAATAACTACTATACTCTGCCATTAAATAGAGCTTTCCTCCCAAGCAAGGCCTTCATTTCCCCTTCCTAAAATTCACATACGTCTCACAATATCCCATTCTCCCTACCTCGAACAACGATTCTCGCAGGCTAGAAAAGTACCTCAACCCCAAAGCCCAACATATACCAAGAGATAGATCACCCTCCATGGCCTCCACAATCGGAAGAACTACGATGAACTGCTACGAGATTCTGGGCATAAATCCAAATGCAGACCTGAAGGGCGTCAACAGTGCCTACAAAAGACTCGCTCTAAAGTACCACCCCGACAAGACAGGTGCAGATGATGCTCACCTCGAATTCCAGAAGGTACAGTACAATCACAATACTCTGTTCCGCATATTTCTCATATATCACCCTACCTTTCAGTTACTTGACTCAGTTTACACTGACCGGATCATGTATTTGAAGATTCAACAAGCCGTCGAAATCCTCCGCGATAGTAGCCGCCGGGGAAAGCACGACGCAGAACTGCGGAGCAGACGTATTTTTAGAGAAGAGGCCATCAATCTCTCTAAACAGGACACTTCATCTTCTTGGGAATGGGCGGCTTCGAGTCCTGATTTGTCTGCCCTGCGTAGTATGAGCGGGCGGTATATGTTTAGTTATGCGAATAGCGTCCATATGGATCCTTATTCTCCGGCATCGCAGGAGGAGATCAGACGATGTGAGAGGGAGCGCGAGTATGAAGAGCAACTGAGGCGGGAGTGCGAGCAGTGGGAGGCTTATGAAGGCGACCCGGATATTTCGGGTTATACTTGGACATATGATCCGGAGACTGAGGAAATGATGAGGCAGGATAGAAGGAGGGAGACTATGCGTGCCTATGTAATGCGTGATGAGGAACAGACGGAGAGAGGCGAGGTGTTGGATGAAGAAGACAAACAGGGTTACGCTGAGGAGGGTGGTATGGCTGGTACCAACGCACGTTCTGAGTCTGAGGAAGAAGTTTGTGATGAAGAAAATCAACAGTGTGAGGAACGTGAAGAGCACGAAGGCAAGGAAGAATATGAAGGATACGAGGGTGGAGAGGAGTATGAAGAGCAGGAAGAAGACGAAGGGTATGAAGAATACTATGAGGAAGGGGGATATGCAGGAAAACAAGGTTATGAAAAATGTGGTGGATGCGATGGATATGGAGGAAACGACCAACAGGGAGAGAAGGAAGAGGAGGACGATCCCACCTTCTCAATTACCTCTACGCAACAAACCCAGGCCGAATATGAAAGCGCACGACAGGCCCCCTTCTCTGACGGTGAAGATCTGCTTGACATGGCGAGCATTGGAGAACCAGTTGACCCGGTGGATGAAACAGAGGTTATCTCTGGAGAGGAGTCAGATTCTGAGAAAAATGAAACTTTCCACAGTTTTAGCGACGAAGGAGAAGTCTGCTCTAATGGCGACAACGCGACCTCGCAAGCCATGCCCACCAATGGATCTTCACCAAGCTCACGTTCAGTCCTCGATCCTTTAATCCCACACTTCAAGGAGAAACTAAATCATCCTAGCGGTCGATACACGGAAGAAGATGTCCACACCGAGCTCAGAGGTCTTGTGATGGAGTCCTTCTGTGGCTGGCTAGAGACTCTCCGGCTAGAGTTTCCCGGAGCAGAGCCTGCAGCAACTGTCCGGGTGAACCCAGAGCATTGTCGTCATCTGGGTTATTGGAACAAGGAATTTGGATCATCGGAATGTGAAATGTGCCACCGGTGGATGCCCATCTACACTCTTTCCTGCCCGGGGTGTGGGATCAGGGCGTGTGTTGACTGTAAGTTTCACTACGAGGAGTGACTTCTGCCCCCTATCTTCTTGTTACAAGATGCTTGAGCTCCCCCAGTCGAGATATGCTCGATGATTCATATCAATACCGTTGTATTCGGTTCTTATTATGAAGGAAAAGATGACTTGTGCCATATCAAATGGCAGATATTTGACTCTTCATTGAGTATGGATATACACTACACTCCTGCAAATCAAGATTAGCCAAGATTATCTCCCCAAGAAGAATATAGTTTCTCGGTGCTTTAGCAGAATCTAGCATGATACATGCCTTCATGTAGACAATATTTAATTCACTATACAGTACCTTCAGACGTTCTCTTCTTCAACAAGAATGTCTGTTGTAGACGCGTTAGTCAAACCTCGGAGGATTTACATGGAATCTTACAGCATCTGATGCTAGCTAAGTTTTGAATAGGTACTAAGAAGGCTTTCTGTTATTATTGAAGAGCATCATATTGGTAATCATATGTAAGCAATCAAATTGTCAACTATCTATAATACGTGATTAATATAGCTGAATAGATCCTTCACTTAAACCCCCACCGCTTCAAATACGTCTCCAGATTCCTTGCATTGCCATCCCTGAACTTCTCCAGCATCTTCGGCGTCTTTTCCTCCAACAACTGATCCATAAACTAAACGGCTTGACATAAATCCTGTGAGAACCACCATATGTCCACAACATCGCCTGCGCTAGGGATAGTAGAGGGCTTCTTGGCCCCGACTTCAATCAAATCGGCATCCCATATATAGTCAAAGTCTGGATTTAGTACCAAGCCAGGTTGGCAGTGCCAGGCTTACTCAATACAGCCCTTGATCGTCCGTGCCAATCCGGGTTGTTCATAGTTCCTCCCACGGTACAAAGATTGCATATGGTACAATGCAGGGGTCCAGTGTGGTGTATGAGGTGGAGGCAACCACCGAATTTTTTGTTCATCATTCAGAATTCCTTGTGGAAGCTGTGGTAGTTCTCGGTCTACATGGTAATCACGGTAGATGGGTATAGTCTTTCCTTAGTGACTATGAGATATTCTTGCCCTAACAGAGATATACTTAAAGACTCACCGTTGAACTGCCAGTGCTTTTCCCTCCCTCCTTTCATGATAGATGCTCGGTCGTAAACTGAGGATTTGAAATTATGACTTGGGTACTTGGAAACCCCCACGATAATCATTTGACTTGATGTCTACAACATATACGTAACATGGCCACGCGTTTCAAAGATAGACTTTTACATTCTTTTTTCCTTTTTTCTTTCTTTCTTTTTTACTTATCAAATCGATAGACGACAAGTTCACGGTTTGCATTCTCACCAACCAAGTGCCTTTCATTTCCGCAAATCCTTCCTTTACCTATGAGCTCGAAAACCTCCTCATGCTTCAATGTTTTACTTGACGATGGAGTTCGGATGCTCAGAAACATTTTCAAATCAAATGGCCATGTGATAGGAGACAAATGGAGGCAGAAGCCAACCTCGGCCTTCTCATCATATGCCTCGGAGACGACAGCATACCATGGCTCATCGCATATGGCAAAGGTAAGAGGTTTTGTTTGTAGACTGTTGTTCCCACGGTAGGGAGGAAGTACCTGAGTGTCGAACCGCCTCCAGCAAGGCCCTTCGCCGGAGATTGGAATGCTAGTAATTTGCACCTGTGATGTCCACTCGGTCGGCGCAACTAGGCGATCGACTGGCCCTGTACACAAGTTCTCGACAATATCAATAGATTGGTTGTCCGCACTAATGGTCAAGCATTGCACACCCGGGAACCCGCGCTGCCTGACAGAGTAGAACCCTAATTCCCTGAACCCAAAACGCGTTATAATAGACGGACCATTGTCTTGGCCAGCTTCTCGCAGACGTCCGGTTGGGTCCAAGGAAGGCCGATAGTCTGATGGTTTTGAGATATCCCAGATAGATAGCGACTCGATCGGAGCATCGTCATCTGCAGTGTACAAACTGCGATTGGGCTGCCAAATATAGATGGCATAATGTGTTTCGCTGTGAGTGGAATAGAAGCGATCCCTCTCACTGAGTGGGTGACCAAGAAACATGATCTTCCACTCATTCCGAAACTTGATGCTCCATCCACTAGCAGCCTCTGTCACGTCAAATGATGAAGCAAAGTGGCGATGCACGCCGTCACTGTCATTTAACCAATGGAAGGCCTTGGGTTCTGCCCACTCCACAACAAGAACTCTTTTCTGTAGTCGAATTCTGCGAATCACTTTGCCTGTGATAATGAAAGGAACCATAAATTTCCTATCACTGTCTAGGTCCAAGAGCACAAGGCATGAGTGATCTGCGCTCGGATACACTATCAGACCATCCTCATACGACCAGAACGACTCTGGGAACGGGCAATCAACGCGCTGCATGAGGTGACTAGCATGGTTTTCCCATGGTTGCACGTGGAACCATTCTCTTTCCCCAGATATGCCGAAGTCATCACAAAGTTTGTGCTTCTGGATAGATTTAGGTTTCCCTTGGCTAAGATGATCATACCTAGAGGCAAGCTGATCGAAGAGCCGGCACCAATAGATATCGTCTTCTGTAGTCTCCAGCATGCAGTCAATATCTTTACCATGAAGCTCCCTAACCTCTTTCGCCAAGGGAAAGAACGTCCTCAAGAGTGGGATAAGATTTGCGGGGTTTCCGAAGCTCTGACTCCAAGATTGGGAAACACGGCGGCAACGGACGATGTCTCTAGGACTGAGATAGTTCAAGATCATCCAGAAAATCTCTCGTGGCAACATGGACATTCCCAGAGCCTCACGGTCTCGAGTAGTTGCTGGTGTGTCAACCATGCCCACTGCCATTGTGAACGTGGGGGTGGGCTATAGAGCTTCCTTTCACGAACGCAGAAGAGAGTTAAGCATTGATAAATTTAATTTCATTTTCAAAGTATAGGCGAGGCGGTCCTGAGCAACTTCTCAAGTCCCCATGAAAGGCGAAGGGCTTCTGAGAGAGCATGGGGGTGACCGACTGTACCCCCACGTCGCACTTTTGTATTAAATCATTAAGTAAGTGTATTTATGGGGCGGAGCGGAAGCTTTCCCGTCACATGCCAAGAGCGCGTCTTTAGGACACATTGCTTCATTGCTTCTCTTTCAACGTCTGACCAACCATAAATAGTGTTTCCTCTCTTACTAGAGGGGTTTTCACCTATTACATACTATAAACACCAGTCATAGTATACCCTTTCAAAAAAAAAAAAAAAAAAAAAAAGGAGTTAATCCCAAAGGAAAGCTCTCACTTTCAAATTCAAGATGTGGCAGCCAAGCTCTGCACTTCTTCTTGTCGCGTCACTTCTTACAGCCCTCCCAGTCAACGCTGATGGGTTGTACACTAAAAAGTCGCCTGTGCTGCAGGTGGATCAAAAGTCTTATGATCGGCTCATTGCCAAGTCCAATCACGCATCGGTAAGGTGAACTGTTACTGACTATCAATGCTAACAACAGTGTTAACCATCTCACAGATCGTAGAGTAAGCGCTCTATTCCCCCTCCTACCATGATCGCCAATTCCTAATATGTGTCCCTTTACACCAGATTCTACGCTCCCTGGTGTGGCCACTGCCAGAACCTGAAACCTGCCTACGAGAAAGCAGCCAAGAACTTGGACGGTTTGGCCAACGTTGCCGCCGTCAACTGTGATGATGACGAAAATAAACCCTTGTGTGGCCGGTTGGGTATACAGGGCTTCCCGACACTCAAGATCGTGACACCTTCCAAGAAATCTGGCGCACCAAGGGTGGAAGATTACCAGGGCCAGAGGACCGCCAAAGCTATAGTTGATGCGGTGGTGGACCGCATCCCAAACCATGTGAAGAGGGTTACCGACAAGGATCTGGACAAGTGGCTCTCTGAAAACGAAGAATCCTCGAAGGCTATTCTTTTCACCGAGAAAGGCACCACGAGCGCTCTCATCCGAGCCCTTGCGATTGACTTCCTTGGATCAATCAAGGTTGCCCAAATTCGTAGCAAGGAGTCCGATGCTGTAGAGAGATTTGGCATTGAGGAATTCCCCAAACTCGTCCTCCTCCCCGGAGGCGAGCAGGAGCATATTGTGTATGATGGCGAGCTCAAAAAGAAGCCAATGGTGGAGTTCCTCAGCCAAGTCGCGGCCCCCAACGCTGCTCCCTCTGCCACAAGCTCCAAGACCAAGTCCTCAAAGCCATCTAAGTCATCGTCCGCACGTTCTAAGTCTACAACGGTTCTAGATGATGAAGCAGAGAACTTGAAGCCAACTGGGTCTCCTGACCCCAAAGTTGTCCCCGACAATGCGCAGGAATCGAAGCCCGCACAAGTTCCCATCCAGGCACCCCCTATTACTTCCCTTCCTACTGTGGAAGCGCTGGAGTCTGCCTGTCTAACACCCAAATCCGGCACTTGTATTTTGGCTCTTCTTCCAGAGTCCACCGAAGCTGACGCCGACATTCCCAGCTCCGCGAAGGAGGCCGTTGTCAGTTTATCTGAGATTGTACATAAGCACGCGGTGCGCCAGGCGCACCTCTTCCCGTTCTACAGTGTCCCAGCTACTAACAGCGGGGCCGCAACTCTGCGGGCTGGGCTCGGTCTTTCTGAGGATAGCAAGTCAGTGGAGGTCATCGCGTTGAACGGACGCAGGGGCTGGTGGCGGAGGTACGACCCATCGGACAACGCGGACTACAGTTTGGCCCGTGTTGAGTCCTGGGTTGACGCTATTCGTTTGGGCGAAGGCTCTAAGAGCAAGCTCCCTGAAGGGGTCGTCGTCACCGAGGCCGAGGCTGAGGTCGAGACTGAGAAACAAACCGCCGATCATGACGAGTTGTAAGTCGAAACTGTTAGCACCTGGATCTGGGCCGTAGCTATAGTTGGTGGACGTCTACGCTCCTTCTTTAGCAGAGGTCCAACTATTTCAAGTAGCTTGGAGCGGAGGCGTTACGGTTAGTCAATGAATAGGATGTAGTTTTTACAACGGAGGTAGTTGAATTTCAATGAACTTTTTAATATAGAAATCGGTCACGTATATACAAGAGGGTAGGTCACGAAAATCAGTTTTGTTCTAGACAG